TTATATTTGTTTAAAATTTAAAAAAATTTCATTAAAAAAGATTTGGTGCGTTTCTATTGACTCACCCCCATATATTAAGCAATATGATATATGCAAATTTGGATGAACATATAGAATTCAAGCCAAAGTTCTTTCTTTATGTATAATCTGTACCTAACTAACTATAAAAAAAAAGAGCACTTGTGAATTAGTTAATATTAGTACATATATGTATATATATATGCAATATTAAAAATTTAGTAGTTAGTATAATGTTTACATATATGTTGTATATAATATACTGTACATATGTATAATATCAAATATAGGTATAAAATAACTGAGTCAAAAAGTAAATCTTAAACCTGCTTAATTATAATATCTGATATCTATTTTCAGTATATATCAGTACCTTTAATGTATAACAATAATAGTAAAACTATTTAGTATAAAAAAAATTTAGTTATACTTCTTAAATAATTAGAATAAACTATTGATATAAAATGTTACCTATAATTAAGATTATTATGTTGCTTCTTTTAACTTTATTAATACATTACACTATATAAGCAAATATGGATTTAGAGATTTTAAAGATTGAATAATTATCAAAATTATATTTCTAAATAATATCAAAAATTAGCCAACTTCTTTAAAACAACTAAAAAAACTAAATATATAAACATGTTTATACCAATAGTTTAAGAAATTTTTTGCTATATAGGATATTTAATTTTCATATAATGTATATATATATGCTCGAATGTCAAATAAAAATAAATACTCAAAATAAATTTTTAGTCTAATTCTCTTATTAGTTCATATTGAGGTTGATCTTTAGTATAGGTAGCCAATATAGAAATATTATAAAATTATAATATATAAAAATAACTATTTGAGCTAATTTAAGCAAATTTAAGAATAGTTAGAGTTAGAGTAAGGGTTATAGTATAATTTATAATTAGGTTAAAGTTAGAGTTAGAGTTTTTTTATATTATAAACTTATAATATTTTTATATTGGCCACCTATACTAAAGGAAATCCCACATTGATAAAACAATTATTATTTTAACTACAACATACTTAAGCAAAAGCTAATAGAAATTCAATTAAATAAATAGCAACTATGTATTTACACTCTAATATATACATATAAACTTGTATTATATAACAAGAAGTTTTAATACATACATGCATTATTTAATGCTTAATTTTCTGAAAATTTGCAAGTAGTAGTATAATGTTCTGGTTCATAGCAGTTACCACAATACTGAACCCCCAGTTTTGATTTAATATTATTATTATTTGTTTCTATATTAGCTTGTTTAGTGGATCTTGAAGTCTCTATATCTAAATTTTGAAAAACTTCTTGTGTAGAGCTTGATTCTTTTAAACATTCTTTGTGTTTTGCTTTTTTGAATTTTCTATTTGAGAAATATCAACTTGTATTTGCTGATTTTCTATTTGAGAAATATTAACTTGCATTTACTGATTTTCTATTTAAGAAATATCAACTTGTATTTGCTAATTAATATTTGCATCAAAGTGGCTTTCAATAAATTCAGATATCAATCCTACAAATTCATCAACTAAACTATTTTCAATTGCAAATTTTAGTTTACTTTTCACAACACCAAAACTATATACATATTCTTGCTTTTCTACAATACTCATATAGATACTAGGTTGATATATATCTGGCCCACGAATAGAAATCACCTAATTTATCTCTGTAACTGTATCATGTTCTATAGTAGTGCCCATAATTGATAAAGAATCTAATACTTGTTTTGTATCTGCATACTAATATTTGGATATAAGTTTAATATCAAACTTGGCATTGCATAATATTTTAAAAATACTAAAAAAGTATCTACAAAAGAACCTGTTTGAAATAATATAAAGGTACATGCAAAGACAAGTATTATTAGCTAATAGAATGATATAGTAAGGATATTGATTGATATGTTGATCAAATAAAGATACTTTCCAAATTTCAAGAATATTCTTTTGATCTACTATATTAATAATTGTTTTGAGAAAAGCCTGTAATACATTGTATTCATCTTTTAGATACCTATCTAAATACTTAGAGGTTTCAAAAGGCTAAATAAATATTAGTACATACTCATATTCAATTAACAAGACAATCATAATTAGTGCAAATTATACCAAAATTAAACTTGATTTTTTAACTAAACATGCTCTATATAAAACACTTTAAGCTATTTGAATACTTTGAATAGATATAGCTTCTATTGTAAATACTTTTCAATCTCATTCTGAAAAAGACACTCTAAACATTTGGAAGTTCCTAGTATGGTATGGGTTCATGTTATTTGCCCTATAACAATTTGCCTGAAATAATTTTTTAGTAATATTTTTTAAGAATATTATTAAAAAAATAGCTGTCAGGCAAATTGTTGTAGGGCAAATGACATGAACCCATATAGTAACATATTTTTGTATTCAAAAAGTCTCTAATGCTATACTTTATGATTAAGTTTTGCTTGAATGGCTTTGTCTAGATTAACAAGTATTGTTTTTATACAAATCTCATTTTTGATAATCTCATTTATACTTTTTACTTATTGGGTACTTTGTATTCTAGCATAAAAAGTTGGGAATACATAAATTTTAGATTTGTGTGATTTTAAAGCTATTATAAGTAATTTTGACTTGCTAGATATTAAACTAATAACAATTGCCAGTTGTGCTCCAGTTCTATTTCACTATAACTATTATGATATCTAAACCAACTTTGCAAAAAACTAGTATATGAATTATCTAATTTTTGTGATAATTTTTTGCAATATTGGTTTGTATATAGAAAATACTATGGTTATACTTAGAGACAGAAAAAACTTGGCTAATAGCAAAGGCTACAGCTAGATAAGTATCTGTAAAAATTGTTCTTAAAGATAGATTATCTGTTGTTTTTAAGATACAATTTTAGGTCTATATGTAATTGTTAATAGTTTTGATTTGCATAAGAGACTGTGCTACAAGCTTTGTTTGGTTATGATTATTAATGATCACAAAAAGATTTAAAAACATGTTATATATATTTGTTTTAGCTATATTATTATTAACCACTATATCATAATAACACTTCCATAATTCTATTTGCGCAGATGTTATCCAAAAAAGCTGCAAAAGACTGTTATCAATACCTTTAAGCTTAATATAAATGACCTATCTAGTCTCTTATTCCTGTTGCTTCATAAGCCAATTTATCATATCTGTAGCATCATTTTTTTATTGAATACCCATTTGTTTCATGTACTGATATATAGTATTATACAAATCACAGTTATATAATGGTTGATCAGGAAATTTCTTTAAAATATACTGATATTGAGCCTTTGCTCCAAGTTTATATTTCTGTGTTAGAACCTTTATTGTATCCAAAACATCTTGCAAAAGTGAATATAAGCCTAGAGCAAACTTTTTTCTATGTGGTGCAAAAGAATAATTATGTCTTTCAACAAATTTATTAACAACTATAGCATTAACACTTTTTTGATATCCCACATTAAGTTGCTATTGACATCAAACTTTTTTTGACAATTTTTTTTATAACATGTGACATCAACATTTTTTTTAGATTGATATTCTCTTGAATATTCACAAATAAAATAGCTACAGATTATTTTACTATTTTTACTCTTCACTTGATATTTTATTGACTTAAATCTACTTTCTAATTTATATTTTTTTAATGAATTCTTCAAAGATTCCTAGCTTGGAAATTAAGCACCACTTTGAATTACAAGTTTATCTGTTTCATAGTTATTATAATCAGATTCACTATAACTTTGTTGATTGTTATTTGAATACATAAAAGTCTCTAATTGAATACTAGAATTTAAATATATAGGTATCTCTAATTGAACACTAGGATTAAACCAGTAGTCAGGAAAAATTGTTAATATATTAGGTGTCAAAATGAATCCTACAAATAAAGTAAATAAGTATTCATAAAGATTAAAAATATAAATGCAATAAATAGTAAAAAAATTATTTTAAGTACAAAAATTTTACATTTTGTTTAAGATATGAAAAGTCTAAAGTAACATTTTAAGTTGCACATTTAACTGTTTCATAATAATTTTGTTGCTTATTATTCGAATATATAGATTAAACACTAGGACTAAACTGATAGTTAGAAATAATAGTTGATACATTAGACACCACTGTAGATTATAATAAAGTAAATATCATGTTTTTGCAAAGTATTAATGAAGAGATTACTTTAAGACATAATTTTACTATTTTTATTTGTTTTACAATAGCTTTGCTACTCATTATTTAAATATATAAATTGAACACTAGGATTAAACTAGTGATTTGATATATTAGATGCTATTATAGATCTTATAAGTAGAGTAAATATCAAATATTTGTAATGTATTAATGAAGAAGTTACTTCAAGAATGTAATTTTACTATTTAGCTCAGGATATGAAAACCCAAGATAGTATTATTTGCTATGACTTAATGAAACTCTAAGTTTAAATAAAAGTTGTTAATCATGTAAGTCTTAAGTCCCCGTATCTTTATATTCAAGAACAATACTTACTATTAAAGCAATATACAAATCTCTTAACTTCAAAAACTCAAGGACAAGTTCTACAATCCAAAATTGCTTTACTTACACTTTTAGTCATTGCTTTATATATGTATATATACATATTATGTACTAAAATAAAAAACTATATTGTGTTCATATGATATATACCTTCTGATAAGTTTATATGTCTCTATATTCAAGAATATCACTTACTTTTTGTGTATTGTACTAAATCTACAGCAACAAACTCAAAGACAAGTTTTACAACTTTTAATCACTTCGCTTTCAATTATTACCTTATATACATACAACATATACATATGTATTATATATTAAAGTTAATAAACCATATTTATATTCACACTATATGCATTTTAAAATAAGTTTATTTTACAGTATGCTCACTTGGTTTTTGTCATCTTTCTTACACTTTACTGAATACTATTTTTATAAACAAGGATATATTCACATTTTCACAAATGACTTGTTAAAGAATTAATTACTATGCAAAGTAAAAGAATATTTGTTCAATCATATTTGTATTTATATATATATATTGTACAAATTTATTTGTTTGTTAGATATTTAAATATATACATATGTACAAAGTCTAAAATTTACTATTATAGTTAAGGTCACATGACTTGGAATATGATATTGCAACATGCCATAGATATAAACTTTTTTAATAAAAATAATTAGTAATAATAATAATAATTAATAAAATAATAAATATAATTAAATTTTTTTTATTTTTTTTTTTTAGATGAGGTCTTGCTCATATCTTTATTAAGTAATTTATATAAGTAATTACATAAAATTTATAAAGAACTTAATTTGTATAATAACAAATAAATATAAATTACATGCAAGAATAAAAGCTCAGACTAAAAGCTTAGACAAGATGTCAAACTAATTATCTGCGACCTAAACCTACTAGAGTGGTCAAAGCTCACCTAGATTTGGATAGTTAAAATATGATTAATAGGGGTGTTGTATTTGGTCCACATAGTAGACCAGATATCAAATTTATGATTAGCGAGCCCAGAAGGAGGACAGGTATTTGAATCAGAGTGAAGTTGGTCTGGAGTATTACAAGGACAATTGTAAGTAAAGGTGTTTCTAGTTTTATTATAAGTATATGGATATTGTAAATGGGAAAGTTGATTATAAGAGAGATTGGTGGAGATTTGATGCGTTCTTTTCCATGTAGAAAAATTAATACAGTATTTTTTATATTTGGTTATAGAGTTGGTTAGAAATTTTAAAAAGGGTTTGAATAATGAGCTGTGAAGCGAGAGAGTGTAATATATTGAAGGTTTGTACAGATTAGATAAGTGGAATGGGGATAAGATCTTTGAGAGTAGACTGAAAAGAGTATGGGTAGAGTAAAGAAGGTTGGGAGGAGAAGGATTGGTGAGAGAAAATTGTATACTTCAGGTAGTTGAGTTCGAGTAAAGAAATGTTAAAATTAAATTTGAAAACAGTTTTGTTGATACAAGTATTAATGATTTGAGTTAGTTGATTATAGTTAGAACAGGTATACTAGTGAGATGGAGAGTTAGGATGATTGCATTAGAAGCAGTTGGAGGATGAGAATAGATTAGAAAATATAGAGTGATAGTAGAAGTGTGTAAGTTAATTGTTAAGCAAGATTTTGATTTTGAAAGATTTAAGGTAGTTGAGTTTAAAATTGGTAAAGTTGGATGAGCTTTTGAGATTGTTGTTCAAGTTGAGCCAAGTAGAGTTCCAATCAATATAGTGAGAAAAATGTGACTATTCTTGATTGCAATTTTGAGAGGACCACATTGCGATGGTTTTAGCTCTACAAATCTTTTTAATGAAGTATTTGGCAGGGCTATCAATAGGACAATTTTTCTATTCAAAAAAGAAATAGGGATTGTATATATTAGAATAATTAAGTGTTAAAATAGGGGATTAAGTATGATTGTTGGCAAGCAAGTCTGCTAGGTTATTGAAGGTGTTGTTAGTATGGGCTTGAACTTTATAGAGTGTTAATATTATATGCTTTAAGTAAATTAAGAAGTATATGCCAAATAGGCCAAGAGTTGAACTTGAGAGATTTAGAGGAAAAGTAATAATTTGAGATAAGTTTGTTATATTTAGAGATTATGGATTGGGAGTCTGTATAGATATTAACAAAGGAGTTATGAGGAAGGGTTGAAATAGCAGATAAGATAGCAAAGAGTTCAGCTTTGTAAGATGAGGGCCAATTGATAATTTGAGCAGAGAAGTTATGAATTACAGTGTTGTTATAGACTTGGGCCCAGCCAATACCCATGGTGCATTGGTTAGTGCCAAAGTTTTTGACAGAGCCGTCTATATAAAATATGAAGTATTGATAGGAGTTGTTAATCAGAGCAATTTGAGTAAAATTTTCAGAGATGTTATTGTTGTGAAAAAGTATAGGTATAAGGGAGTCAGAAATGTTGACAGATGGTAAAGGAGGAATATGAGATAAGTTTTAAGTAGAGGCAGATAAAATAAGGTCAATATAGTTAGCATTAAGCTTAAGTTGATTGTTAGATTTTCTTCTCAAAAATTGAGTAGAAAGAATAGAGGATATCTCCAATGTGCAGTAATTAGCAATATGGTTAGAGTTAAGGCTGCAGCCTGGGTAGGGTTTGTAAGAAATAGAAGGAAGAGGGTAGCAAATATACTATATTTTTTGAAAATTATAATTTGGTGTACTGTGCACTGTGGTGCACCCATCACATGATCTAAATAAATTTTTTTTATTAATACCCCTTATAATGATTTGATTGGCTAGTAAATTTAACAAAATTTTGTATGTAGACGTGTCTTATTTTGTATTTACTGATATTAACCAAATATGAGAAATATGTGAATAAATATCTCAAGACATATCTTGCTTAAACTTATAACTATTTCTCTTGTTGAAATATAACAGGTTTGGTACAAAATTCTGAAGGGTTATAAGCTAGACAATTTGGTTTTTGATCTTGTTGGGATTTCATTTTTTGGACTTTGAACAATTTCATTACTTATTTTGTCAATATAAATACCTTTGAGCATATTACTAATTATTCTAGATTAGTTTTCTTTTACTTACCAGCCTAATGGAAGATTTTAATGAGCAAACTCTAAACAAAGAATTAGTTAAAGCAAAGTATAATGACAATAACATTGATATTGCAATATATTTTGAAGAGTCTTTTCAGCATAATAAAAAAAAAAATTACTTACACATCAACCAGGAGCCAATAACTTTGAAAGAAGGTGACTCTTTTGACAGTTTTGAAGAGGCCGAACTTTACATACAGCAGTTTGCTGAATTCAAGAGGTTTAAGGTTAGATATGGATATGTAGTAATGATAAATACTGCAGAAAATGAAAAGACAATTCAAAAATGGTCAATTCTCTGCAAGCATTCAGGTATATTCAAGCCAAAGAATGTTAGAAAGGCAAGTACTTCAGCTCAATTATTATGCCTATGGCATATTAATCTGTCACATCCTTCAAAAGATAACCCTAAGTTTCGTGTTATTGTCACCACTTTTCATAATACACATAATCATGAGCTATCGCCTAAAGTAATAGAATTTGAAAAAAAAAAAATTTTTAGAAGAAATGCAACAAGAAATTGAATTTCTTGTTGCAAAATGTCACTTTGGAGCAACTATAGTTCAACATATCTTGAAGAAAAAGTTTTTACTTCACCCACTATTTCCTAAAGATTTGAATGCTGAGATTTAATGATATTGAATATCAAATAATATAATTAAAAGTGATGTATCACGGTTTTATGAGGAGCTATTGTCAAAACAACAGGAGGATTTTTTATAGTTTGTTAAAGCAATATGGGAAAGTGAAACTAATACATTGGTCAACTTGTTCTGGATGAGTTCAGAACATGTTTTGTTGTGATGTGAATTTGGTGATACAATCAGTCATGATAATACATCAGATACCAATAAAACTATATGCTCCTCTTTTTGTTTGTAGCTCAAGATGATAATATGAATTCACGCATTATAGCTCAAGCATTAGTTAGCAATAAATCAACTGAAACATACCAATGGGTACTTCAAATAACTAAAAAGGCAACTAACAATAGATATTCTTGTGTAATTGTAACTGACGGTGATCTAGCAATAGAGCATATGATAATTTTGAAGTATCCGAAAACGTGATATTTATTTTGTATTTGGCACATCAAAGAAAATATAAAAAAGATGCTGCATAGTAAGTTAGATAATTCATTTGATAAATTTTATAATAAATTTTG